CACAGTGGTGGTACTAACACTTACCTGTTTCACATGGAGATGTAAGTGAGAATTTGAAGTGCAAGAAAGAAGCGAGCTGGGAAACAAGACTAGTGATGTCAGGGCCTGGCATTACAGATTATCATATTTATTAAAACTATCGACATTTCACCCTTCTGCACCTGAGGAGCAGAATGAGGTTGTGTTTATCTCTCTGTTCCTCACCTGTGCAGACACCAATGAACCACAACAACTACCAAATTTCTGTTATGGAACAGAACAAATGATGGAATGAACATTGCCTTCATTACCAACAATGATCATTGTTGGAGTGCAGGATTATGGATAATTTAAATTTCATTTCTTGTGTTTGTCAACTTTTTTTTTACAATAAGTTGATGTTATTTCTGAAGTCAGAAAAATAAAATATGTTATTAAAAGAAATAAACAGAGAAAGAAAACTTTTAACATTTTAGAGTGCTCTGCCTTGAATTCTGAAAAGAGTGTTCCATTAGCTTTCCTGCCTGAAGATGTAGGGTGTCAATTAATTGTGAAAATGGAAGACTATTGCTGCTGCAGAGATGTCTTTATTTGATAAGGGTATCATTAGGCAAAGTTTGTCTGAATATTTAGGAAAATGAAACAAATATCCATATTAATTAACAAAAACACTACTCAGACTTATTTTGATTCTGAAATATGTGACCTCTGGACCTGAAATATCAAGATTGAGCTCTTAACATACAGTGCACTAAGTCTGTGAAACATGTTGCAAGAAGCTCCTTTTGGCTCTAGCCTTTAAAAAAAAACATGTTTGGGCGCCTGGGTGGCTCAGTGGGTTAAGCCGCTGCCTTCGGCTGGGGTCGTGATCTCAGGGTCCTGGGATCGAGTCCCGTGTCAGGCTCTCTGCTCAGCAGGGAGCCTGCTTCCCTCTCTCTGCCTGCCTCTCTGTCTACTTGTAATCTCTCTCTGTCAGATAAATAAATAAAATCTTAAAAAAAAACATGTTTAAGGAAAAATGTTTGCGTGTGTGTGTGTGTGTGTGTGTGGGTACATGTGTGTGTGTGTGTGAGAGAGAGAGAGAGAGAGAGAGAGAAATACAGAGACAGAGAAACAAAGAGAGGAATAATGAAAAAAAAAGTGAATGAATAAATGGATACTTGTGAATAAAGTGATAAATCGATAGTACTAACTATAAATAGCCTATTATGCAGCCCCCAGCAGGAGTTATATTCCATCTTCGGCTGACACACAAAATCACATATATTTGTTACAAACCTCCTTTTTAAACATATCATTTTGAAGATTACTTCCAAAGTATTTTCCTTTATGTGAAAATAAAAGTTTCTGGATCATGCATGCTTACCATTATCACCTTGGATAAGCTACCTGGCATTAGTTAATATGTTCTCCCCAGTTTCTTGAAATCAAAACCTACTTAAATTCCCACAAAGGGAGTTGAGGGAAATTGGAAGGGGAGGTGAACCATGAGAGACTATGGACTCTGAAAAACAATCTGAGGGTTTTGAAGGGGCGGGGGGGGGGGGGTTGGGGGATCCAGGTGGTGGGTATTGGAGAGGGCACGGATTGCATGGAGCACTGGGTGTGGTGCAAAAATAATGAATACTGTTATGCTGAAAAAATAAAAAATTCCTGTGTT